AATTTTATACACTCATCTAAAAAAAATCATTCTATTAACCAAAAAAAAAAAATCATTCTCTCTATATTTTTAAAATTTCGGCAACATTCCGGTGATATCTCGGAAGCATTAGTGTAAAGGTATGGTTACAATTTATTTTTGTACAATGGGTCACATATATACTTTTCAAATTAATAACATGAATATTGCCAAAAAAATGATTTCTTGGAATATTGAGTGATTTCTGGACCAGAAATCGATTTCTGGGTCCAGAAATCGATTTCTGGGTCTAGAAATCAATTTCTGGGACCAGAACGAGATTATCCAGAAATCAATTTCTTGTCCAGAAAGGGGATTTCTTGGGCCATAAATTGATTTCTGACCCAAAAATCAATTTCTCTACCCAGAAATCGATTTCTGACCCAGAAATCAAATTAGTAACATGAATATTGCAAAAAGATATTTTGATTTCTTAGAACATTTAATGATTTATGTGATTTCTGTTCCCAGAAACGATTTCTGGGTCATCTCGTTTCTAGACCCAGAAATCGATTTCTGGACTTAGAAATCAATTTCTGGACTTAGAAATCAATTTCTGGACCCAGAAATCGATTTCTGGTCCAGAAATCCCAGAAATCAATTTCTAGGTCAAAAAATCACTGAAATCGATTTCTGGTCCAGAAATCACCTAAATCAATTTCTAGATAATCTCGTTTGTGGACCCAGAAATAAAATTAATAACATGAATATTGCAAAAAAAAATTTGATGTCTTAGAACAATGAATGATTTATGGCCCCAGAAATAACCTTTTTGGTCCTAGAAATCGATTTTTGGGAACTGAAATAAATCGATTTCTGGTTCATCTCGTTTTTGGACCCAGAAATCGGTTTCTGGACTTAGAAATCGATTTCTGGACCCAGAAATCAATTTCTGGTCTAGAAATCCCATAAATCAATTTCTAGGTCCAGAAATCCCTGAAATTGATTTCTGGATCGATTTCTAGTCCCAGAAATCACGTTTCTGGTCCCAGATGTTGTGTACAAATTATTCTTTTTCCGAGTACGGAATCGAAAGATTCGTTCCCCGGGTCGATCTCACGAGAAAGGCGGTTCGGAATTTAGTTCTGATATCGATAACACATAAAAGAAAAGAAAATCCTAAACATGCTAATCAAATAAGGATGGATGAATTATCAACTAAGAAATAACATAAAAATAATAATCTACTAAAGAAATACGAAGATACAATGAAAAAGAAGCTAGGGAGTCGGGGATAATTAATTCAAGTTCTAGCAAAACCGGGCAATCAATTGTTCGGTTCAAGATTGACACTCTCGCTTAGACATCTAGCGATCCCAATAACTCTTCGTAACAAGGGATTGAACATAGACGAACAAGTTCGAGCGTACGACACAAGCCAATTATCCCAATCCCAATAACTTTTCGTAACAAGGGACGGGTCATTGACAAGTGCGTATTTCAATCTAAAACACGTAGATTAGTCAATTACGACATCGTCTACCTCATGTGAGCCTAAGTCTACGACTTCTCCCCTTTCGGTTCAAAAAGTCGCTAATTTAACTAGAAGAGTGTTAATCGACTAATCACATAGTATCAACGAAACCCTAACTCGACTAATCAACATTCAATTGTTACCAACTGCAAGATCGAAGTGTCACTCTTCGATTATATCAATCAATCAAGCAAGAATATATCAATCCCTAATCGAAACAACTCACATAAGAAAGAACAATTTAAAGCCCGAGAGATGCACGTTAAATAAGAACAATCATTCCCCTATACCTAGCGATAAGATTAGCTACGTAAATTCAATCCAACACAAATAATTAATTCTCCCAATTCAACCATTATTCATGAATTAAACATAAGAGAAAAGAAACATATGATTAATCTCAAATTCAAGTGTTGAATATCAATTACAAGCTTAATCCCAAAAGCAAGAACAATTTCTAGGTGAAAAATGGAAACTAAAGATAAAAAGAAGAAGAAAAATGGAGAAGAAGAAGAAGAAGAGAAGAGGAGAAGAAGAAGAGAAGGAGAGGAGCGTGGTGTTTTCTCAGACCTAGGTTTTCACCCGGTCGAGAGTTGTTCTTCTCTCCCTTGGTCCCGTACATAATATATATCTGATAAGTAAGCCACGACGCGAGAAAAACATAACCGACGCGGAAGGAAGCGGTGCCGCGCCGTGAAGGGCTGGCGCGGCGTGAAGATTGCAAGTGCCGCGGGCGTGGTGGGCTGTCGCGGCGTGCTGCTGGTGATCGTGGGGTCTG